ATATAGTTTATATAGGGAAATAACACTTTTCGGTATATATTTTATCCATTTTCAGCAGAAAATTGCTCAAACTTAGTCAGAATCATCTTGGGTAAATGAGAGTTTTACTTTGTAAAATTAGGATTCCTGCCCCATCCCCAGGGGCTAGGGCGGGGCCCCAAAGGGAACATTTACCAATATTTTCAAATTCTTATCCATTGATGACATGACAAGTATTGTATTTCACTTAGTTTACATGCTGATTTCCACATCACATCTAAACAATAAAATAAAGCTACCAGTATCTATGATATAACTCAGGTGACCGCTAAGGCCCTTGGGCCTCTTGTTTATTTAATTGCTTGGTCATTCAAGGTCCAAGGAAATTCGGTTTTGTATAAAAAAAAATGTTTTACTGATTCTCAATTTGATCTGATCATTTTGAGCAATTTGAACCAAACATCTGCATACAGATGTTCATGTCGTTGTCCTTACATGCCAACAGGCATCTTGTTTTCAAGAAAGAAAATTTCATTTTTGGTTGTGATCCACTTGAGAATCAATGCACAAGAAACATGTATAATTGCATCGGTTGTGTACATTGACTGTCTTATGGCTAATGGTAGAGACGCTGAATAGCAATGCAGTTTCTAAAACAGGATTAGCACAGTAATCTTTTATCAATTTGCATTAAAAATCTATATGCTTTGGTAGTTTTACATGAATTTCTGTCCTAAAGAGTTTCTTACCAAGCAACATCTGTTGTAACTTACCAATGCATCTATTGCAAACACTCCCTAATTATTATTACAAAGGGAGATAACTAACACAAGTTTAATGTGGAAGGCAGCATACATGCTTATATTGTTTAGTTGTTGTGTTTATGCTTTACCTGTCAAGATGATTATGTATTCTTTGTGTATTTGGGATGTATATACCAGTCCTTTGTTTGCAGACCTTTCTATGTAGAACAACATCTAGTCACTAGTCTGTATTCCTATACGTTCAGCAATCCTGTAATAATTTTTTACAACACTAAAAGATTGTTTGTTTTATAACTCGCATAGTCGGAAGGACCGTGGCTCATGCCATAGCAAAATGTCTGTCGTTCGTCAGCCTTTTTTTTCAAAACCTTAACTTCATGAACAAATGATGGAATATCAACCAAATTTACTTTGTTGAATCCTTGAGACTTGTAAAAGGATGTGGTCCCCCCTGGAGCGGAGGGGAGCCAGTAAGGGGGAATTGGTGGATTTTACCCTTCAAAATGCTCCTGAAGTTTTTGACAAATTTAGATTGAGTAGGACAAGAAAAAAACATGTTTTGTAAATGTTTGGGATGTGAAGGTTGAAATGACATAAGAGAACTTAATTTTCAAAAGCCAACTACTCAAGGACATATTTTGTCTGAAATATCACTGATATAAGGCGATCATATGATGTGTAGATGAAGTTGGTGTAACCCCTGGGCCAGGGAGGCATGGCACCATGCCCCTTCTAAGAAGGCGGTGGCTTAGGGTCTATCGCGAGAGTAAGCTCTTTTGGGTAATATGTATACTCGTTATGTATACTCTTACGAGTATACTACTTTGTGTATCCTCGACACTTTGGCGCTAGATTTCCGCACTGATATTAGTGTCCCCTTGTTGGACTCTGGGGTGGGGCGGGGACACAGATAGCTAATTAAGTAAAAACCACACATGGGTAATGAAAAAAACACGGGGGGGGGGGGACCCTACAACTACCACATTTGTACCAGTTTTGGAGTTATCAGCATTATAGTGAAACCACATCCATCGCTAAACAGCAGCAGGGGGTAATCAGATGCCCTGCCTTATGCAACGACGCTGATGGCGCCATACTGGAGTACTTCCAGTATCTGAGGTGCAACTAATTTAGTTGGTTCCAACAGACACGTTTGTCCTGACCTTTGCTACCCCATCACTACCTTCGGCCGTAGTGATTGGTTACCAAAGGTGCAGTTTCCCCGTCGACATCCCTAATCCATTAAGATGCCGTAACTGCCAGAAGTACGGGCATTACGAAAGAAGATGTAGGCGGAAGACCGTTTGCCAATATTGTGGTCGTGAAGTGTCATGAGGACCAAAGCAACTGTGATATTGCCAACCTGCGTTGTGTCAACTGTGAGGGAACGCATGCTGCTTCTTTTCGAGACTGTCCTGCCTGGAACCGCGAGAGAGAGGTATTGCTAGGAGGATGGTGGAGAGCACGGATGTAGCTGCACCCTCATATGCACAAGTGACGAAAGTCCGGTCGCAAGTTGACAATGTGGCAGTCAAGGATGCTTCGGTTCAAGTATCTGAAGACATACCTGCCTAGGGCTCACAAGTCCCAGACATGGCTGGCCAACAGAACTTGAAAATCCTCACGGGAGACCCATTCCATTT